TATCCCATGTATAAATAAAACGTGTTATTCAGCAACCCTTGCAATTTGGGATTTTATTTTTGGTTGGTAGACCTCGGTGAGCTGGTCATTTCAAAAGTAGCTCACCAGCCAAAAAAGTGTGGGCACCCCTGCTCTACACTGTGCAGAAAAAAACAACATCAATGAAAATAACCTTGCTGGATAGCTTAGAATGAAACAAACAAACTATCTTCCATGGCTGATACTGATGTCACAGTAACGGCTAAACCACAGACAAGTCCAGCGGGGGGGGCACAAGTTGAATCCATATAATGAAATTGTTATTTTATATATATATATATATATATATATATATACATATATATATACATGCTATATATATTTATATTTATTTCTATCCTACATTGTCTAGGCTATATAAACCGGCGGAAGTGTCACAACTTTCTTGGTTTGTGATTATAGAGAGAGAGAGATAGCGACAGAGAGATAGACATAGATAGAGATACTTTAGAGATAGACATAGAGAAAGATCGGCTGTGTGTGTGTGTGTGAGAATATCTTATGTTAGGGCTAACCAAGAGGGGATGGATTCAGGAGTTGTTAAACAACTGATGGATTTTATGATCCACGATATTTATGCTGATGGCTTGAAAAAAAGAAAATTGTTGACAATTATCCTTTATTATCTTGTATGAATATATCTGGTATATTGCTCATTTTCCATAAAAGAAAAACATTTATTTGAGTTTGATGCATACAAATACTGTAGATGATGATTGTTGAAAATACACTTGTACCATAAAATGCCAGCACGACCAGTTGGTTGAGGCTCATAAAAACAAAACTGTGTAGACAGTAAAAAAAAAAGTAGTTTGTGTCCCATTTGATAAAAAAATGCAAACAAATACTATTTCCAGAGATTTTTTTCTTGGTCTGCCAATTAAAGGGTTAAGCCTATATGTTTAAGCAATTATGTCTGCCTTCCCCATGGTGCACCATTAGGACCCACTGATATAAAATGCTTAACTGCCTAAGTTGCAACTATGCACTTTTTGGTGGGCTAAACCCAAGCTTCACATATTTTTGGCTACATTTAAAGTGCCAAATGTAAGTTTAGATATTATGCAATGCAACGTTTTTCTTGGCCTACATCAGTGTTATAGAAGGAAAGACAACAGTGATAGTTATGTTTCAGAATAACATTTATTGGAAATTGTTGGAAAAATATCACTTTTCACCAGTTTGAGCTTCAACCTCAGGATCCATGTGTCTGTGATCCTCTCCAGAATGGAAGTAGTCATCACATACAGAGCATCAACTAGTTCCTGAACAGTGTCCTTCACATGCTGATATCCAAGAGAGGGTGTTACACAGTCACAAGATGGAGGAATAGAAAGCAGTATTCAATGTTTACTTCAGATTAGCTCCACGTCAGAAATGAGCATGCTTGATGTCAAGCTATCCAGCAAGGTTATTTTCATTTACTGTATGTTGTTTTTTTCTGCACAGTGTAGTCTTGTTGTGATGAGAGGGATGGAGGTATTTAATAAAAACCTTGCTCGCTGGAGAATAGCTAAAGAAGTCCTGTCACAAGTTAATCGGAGAGGATCACAGCTGGCCACGGATCTCGATGCTGCATTCGGGCTGTGAGTAAACAACTTGTGTCTTATTTTTAGGCTGTCTGGAGGTATGGACAGCTATCAAAGCTACTAAACATCACATTAACAACGATGTACAAATGAAAGTCGGAGACAAATACATATTTGAAATGATTTATTCACGTTTGCAATGTTTTGAACAGACATCCCCAGTCACCTCATTGTCATTTTGTAGTCCTCGCTGTACGCGTCCGGATATCGGCATCGCAACCACAACCTCACACACTGGTACTAAATGTGCATCAAAGTGTTCCTATGGAGCCAAATATACCAAAATATAAATGTAAACAACAAAAGAAGCGATCGAAATGTGTATTTCCTGGTTATTCGACAATGGCTCCTCAAAGTACACGCCCCATTCCTACCGTTAACGTAACGTAACGAGTTCCCCGGTGTAACCAGTTAAACGGTAACAGCGGCACTAAAGGAGGTTATGCCCTCTAACCAGTGGCTGCCCCACTGGGTTGTCGATACCATCTCACAGGCTTACGGGGCCAGTGGCCGCCCCCTGCCATCGGGCTGAGATGCCACTCTACAAGGAGCATCTCAACATCTTGGGCTGCCCTGAGGGTGGTGCCCCTGGAGACCATCTGCGCCGCGGCGTCGTGGGCGTCTTCTGGCACATTCTCCAGTTGTCATCAGGTCAATGTCGCCACTCCCCATTCTTTGGGCGTGGTCCTTTTGCTGAGCTCCGCTGTTTCCAGTGGTGAGCAAGGGCATGGATTCTTCATGACATTGTTGGTATAAGTCATCCAGTGCTTAAAGCACCGCCTCTGGCGGTCAGTAGGGACGAAATAGAACGATAGTTACGGCTGTAACTACGGTTCTATGAGTCCCGGATGACCGCGAGAGTTCCCTGTCACTCAGAATTGTTGTGTGCTCGCGAGAAGATTCTGGGAACAGATCATCAGCCGGTGTCACGTGGGTCACAGGTGACTTTGTTGTTATTGGTACTCGAGCTGCGCATGCGCGCGATGGACATATCCAGTGCTTAAAGCACCGCCTCTGGCGGTCATCCGGGACTCATAGAACCGTAGTTACAGCCGTAACTATCGTTATTTATATTTTTATATCACTTAACTATACGTTTAATACATTTAAGTCAAGCTAAGGTACATGTGATGGTAGCTAGTTAGTGCTCTTACCTGTGAGGCCTCCTCCAAACAGCATAATAACCAGACTGTATCATTAACACTAAGTACCAGTTCTAGATCCTTGACTTTAGACAAACAATTCAAAAGACAAAATGTATTTAAAGACCAATCTTTATTTGAATGTGCCTCTTAACCTGAGATATTAGTTATACAGTAATAGTATTGACAATCTAAAAAAACTGAGCAACTCAACAGTCAACTTTATGTTTCTTATTGTCTAAAGCATTTATTATTTTCATTTTCCCCCTCTCATATTCAGTGCGGACGGATTGAGACAGCATGGTGTCCAGAGAGCTGCTGAGACTTCAGGGAGAAACCTCCGTGTGATGGACGTCCTGTCTGTTGGTGTGGAGAGGACTGAGGGTCTTCCCTCTGCGAGGAGGACTGAGGGTCTTTCCTCTGCGAGGAGGACCAGGCCTGATGGAGGAGCCCATGCTGGGCATAGCTGATACCAATTGCACAGGCCTAGTCTGTCACTTTATTTGACTAAATGTGTTTACTTATACATTTAATAGGTTTACTTTCTGTCCATATGTGCTTTTTATTTAAAACATTAGATTAACTTTTGGTTCACATTTCAATAAATTGTATTTGTATTTGCTCTCCTTTCGTCCATCATTCTTACTGAAAATGTTAAATTACACATTCACATCTGACTGAAGATTGGCCCCATTTATTTGTGACGTTGCAAACTCTGCGGTACAAGGCACAAGTGATGTGAAGCTCATAAAGCGAGGCAAATAGAAATAATCAGCGGATGGAGTGTAGATGTGGAAATAGCTGCATTCGATCAGCTGACTGTTTTTACAATAAAAGTAGTTTCTTAGTGAATGTCCTGTACTGGTCTTAAAATCTCATAACATCAGCTTTTAATGTTCCTCTTGGATGTTCTTCTTGACCCTCAGAGAAGGAGAAAATGTTGTGTCTTTCAGGCATGTCCTTTCCTAACAAAAATGACAGGAAACATAAAACATATTATTGCAGAACAAGTGTTATTTATGAAAGCGGTGTGTTTGTGTGTTTAGGGGCTGTAGATATAATTATTTTGTAATTGTAATGTTTTTATTTTATTTTAACAGTGAGCTACAAAGACAATCAGATTATGAATGAACAGTATGAAGTTCATCAACATTGAAATATATGTTATTATCAAAATAATATTTAACTGTTATCAAAACGTAGTGCAACTGTTGAAGCTTGCTCTGTTGTCTCACTGAAAGAATAACTTTTACCACGTTTTTTACAGACAATATTGAGAGATAAATAGTAGTAGTTCTCTATGTGTTAAATATCTTTGCCTTCAATACATTAAATTAGAAAGCTGACAAAGTCATATTGCTAAATATCTAAATGTAACTTTTTGCATGGAAAAAACCCTCAACTTAACTGATGTGTAGGTGATCTAGTATTTAGTATTGTTTAATGGAATGTATATCAGTGTATTCAAGTCAATACTTCATTCATTTAAACCAATATCTTTCTTGATTCTTTGTACAGTATGAAAAAAAGAGTCTTTGTACCAGTGCTGAAGTTCACTGCTGTGAGGAGTCCGGTTCTGTCTCTCACTCTCTGGTCCAGCCTGTCTGCATGACCTGGACACCTTAAACAAACAGATATAGATAGATATATATATATATATATGTTTTATGTTTGTACACATGGCACTTTACATATATATATATATATATATATATATATATATATATGTAAAGTACCATGTGTACAAACAATATAACTGATTCTCTTCTGTTGAACATGTTGGATTGTGTATTGTCCGAGTCAGGGTCCTTTTTATTTTACTGTAACTTTGGAAGTTGTGTTACCAATGCTTACTGTTTATTTGATACCAATTTGGTAATGCAATTAATAAAAACAACAAGGTTTGGGTTCGTTCTTCAGATGACTGTGACGTTAACGTGTAAGCTCGATAATGAACTCCAGCTCAACCAACCATATTGTAATATCTAAGTAATCATCTTGAAATATGACATTAATAATTGTAATATATACACATCTTATTGTGAGGTTGATTTCACATACACTACTTCGACATTAGCTTAGCATTAGTCTACTAGTGCTGGGGGAAACGATTATTTTGAAAACGATTAATCGGGCGATTATTTTATCGATTAGTCGACTAATCTAACGATTATTTTTCTGTTGTTCGATTAATAAAAAACATAATGTATCTCAAATAAATACCAAAAAATTCTTAATAATATAGTTTTTTTTTTATTGCACAACAAAACAAGAAATATAGAATAAAATTATACAAAATAAAAAGGCCAGCCTGTTTAGTCTTACAGTCCAACAAAAAATCTCTTCTGTACAAAATTACAAAAGATAAAAAATGTAGTGCAAAAACAAACACTGCCGTGCACAGTGCAGAAATTCCTGAGTGTTTAACACAATATAACAGTCCCAACACAGGACCTCTTCTTTAAGTTTCCCTTCAGATCGCCAAGAACATGTTGGTATGCTTTCTCCAGCTGCTTGGTAAACCACCACCTGGAGGGACATTTGAAGCCTGGGCAGGCATATTCAATCATATCTATGAAGGCTTCACCCTCAACGAGAGACAAAGGCCTCATGTCTTTGACGATCACCTGTAAGATAAAATAAATATATTATTATTAATAACAACAAAGCACCTTTCATAGAGCCATGTTGCTTACAGTGTAAGAAGCTTAATTATTACACAATCCAAACAAGGACACAAATAAAAAGGCCAAGTGAATAAACACCTATAAACTAGCTAATAAATCAGGACACAATAAATGGGATCAGGACAGCCATTCCCTCCTAAAATATGCTCAAAGGAAGCAAATAATTACTTACTCTCAAGATTATTTTGCTGAGTTCGGCTGCCTTCTGTGGAGTGCATTGCGCCTCTTTCCCAAGATAGGACGGCAAGGTTCTTTGCTTTGTCCTAGAAAACACAACAGCAATGAACAATGGAACAACAGCTATGACAGTGGGGCATATTAAATCTACTCTTAAACTCATTGCAGTGCTATGGTATAATTAGCTTACTTGAAGGCTAACGTGGTTACTTTTTAAACAATGTTAAGTCCAACAATGCATTTCATGATTATCTAAAAGCTTGTAGAGTACTATATCTACACAGTGAAAATATTTGGTAGTGCAACTCATATGAGCCCTATCACACTTGGATGTGCTGGTGCTCATTTTAATGTTTTCAATGCTCATAAAAACATTAATTAATTCATGACAACTGCGCACCCTGGCCTGGACATTGCTTGGCTCCGTTAGTTGACATACATTGATAAGCTGACTAACGTTAGTCTAATGTTATGTAGTTTGACTCGTAAACGACCACAACATGAGTTAGCTCTCTGTGCAGTTAGTTCGTTCCGGGTTAGTAGCGGCTAGCTAGCGGTGTTCTGCAGACGTAAACTAGCTACCATTCCAGCCAACATTAAATGCTGACAAACGTTAACTAACACACAGCTGGCGCCGCTAGCTAGGTAGTTAACTTTAACTACTAACCAACCAAGCACGAACAAACCGCACGGAGAGCTATAAGATAGCACTACCGAAGTGCACAGAACTCAAGCTGCACAACACACTACACAAACGTGGAATTAATTTAGCCAAAGTTAGTACTTACTTATCATTGTTCCCTCCACGAGAGACAAGACGTCGTCGACGCGTCGCTACAGCACTATTGTCTACATACTTGAGCATAGCCAATTTAAATTAAACTTAGATGCATACAGTTCCTACCTACATAATAAAATATCTCTAAGTTACAAGGATGTAACCTTATTTTATCAACCTCAAACAGAAGCCGTTTGTTCAACAGTATAATCCCGCTTAACACTTGTCTATTTCGTTTTAACCTTTATATATACAGTCTATGATTTTAACTTGGAGGCTACGATTAGCATCGTTGGCACCGATGTAGCTACCACTAGCTTACATGCTAACCCAAGCCTTACCATTCATTACGTAGCTGATTAAAATCATTAACACATAAATAAAGCACTCGAATTTCACTTACCGCATTCATGCACCATCTGTTTTAACCGCAGAGCGAGTCACAATAGTCCGATATATAAGCATGAAGAACAAACAACCACGGCCGGCTACAAGTTGTGTTTCCTGGATGAGCTGAGCAGGCAGAGTCCCTGTAGCTAGCTTCACGGAGCAGGTAGCAGAGAGACAAGAAGCTAACAGCGGCAGTCACTTCACAGAGCCGTCACTCAATGTGACCACGCCCTAATTTATGCACAAACTTTAAGACCTAATATAAATAAAAGGGTCGTGTTAGAAAACAATTCACTCACAGATCCATAATCATGAAGGTGGAATCTAACTATATCGATAATAAAAATGTATGTAGCCAGGGGTAGAAACATGTTTTTTTCTGCTGTAAAATTGGGCATTTTAACATGGGGGTCTATGGAAATTGCTCCTTTCTGCAGCCATCGCCTATCGGACAATATATGAATTGCAGTGTGTGGCACTTCCGTATTGGCTTCCCGGCTCTACCCCATAGTTTGCCGCTTGGTCCCGACCAATCAGAGCACACTGTGCTCACAGGGAGGGTGGGGGCTGGATCTATTGGAGCTAAAACGAGCCGTTAAAGGCAGAGAGTGAAATTCAGTCAATACACATAGTTTACAGAGATGCTGTTTGAGAAACCAATGTGAGTTGCGTTTATCTTTACCCATGGATGCACAATAAGAACGGACCCATATCGTCTTACTGCCATCCCACGGAGCTGTAATAATGGATATATTGCACATGTTTGCTGTAATTCATTATCATACTACATGGGCTGTTTGATTACATCTTGTACCGTAAATGTTGTATTAAATAAAGTTAATATTACTTATTATTATAAGTATATATATATATATATACACAGTGCAATCATTATTTCATGCTAAATGAAGCTATGTTGCTTGGATATCACTAGAACCTGTTACAGCGTAATATACATAACGATTGATGTGTACATTAGCATAATTACTAGCTAGCCGCTAGCCGCTAGCTGCTAACTGCCGCCTTGTTAATATCAAATCCATCATAATAACAATTCATTACCATGCTGCATGAACGTGCGGTGCTGTTACGTGTACGCAAATTGACGTGCTTGATGTGAACGAGCATTTTGGTTAAAGTTGCGCATGCGCTATGAGCGCACATACGGGTACTTCTCAGGCATGCCGGGTAATCTGTGACGTTTCACTCTCTCAAAAGTTGGGCCATTTTATCATCATGCGCTAATGAGCAACTCCCATAGGAATGAATGAGGCCCCACCTCCCACGCTGTATCCAGTTCTTATTTCCATGCTCTCCACGAAATGCGAAATGCTTGATGGGAAACGACTCGCTGGTATCTCGAGCTGAGCGCTCATTGGTGGTTTTGAACACGTGCTGGTGATGAAACTCTCCAATTGGCTTGGCAAAAGTTTGTTGTTGTTTTGTGTCAGTTTTACGTCGCCACATCCATTCCCATTTTTCATCATTATTCCACAATGTTTATCATCATGAAATTAATATCTATATATTTTATACTATACTTGCACTGCTTACCGTTTCATACTTTATATATCTTAGCATATTCATACACACTGTTCAGACTGCTCACAGGCTGCTGTGTATATAGTGTATTCATACCCCTCACTGTTTATTCATCATTCAATTCATTCTATATTTTATTCTGTAGATTGTGTACATTACCTTTCACTTTACTGCTTGTTGCACTCCTGGTTGGAAGCTAAACTGCATTTTGTTGTCTCAGTACCTGTAATATGTGCAATAACAATAAAGTTGAATCTAATCTTGAGCAGGAACAAATATATTTACTTAGTACATATCTGACATTAACGATTAAACACATGTGTGCATTCTTTATAAATGCAAACCGAGTCAAGCCGACTCCGGAGGTGGCGGTATGCACCTTAAAGTTGTTTGCAATCCGCCAAATAACCGAGAGAAGAAGAAGAAGAAGGCGAAGAAGAAGATGAAGAAGAAGAAGCCGACTCGGAGCTGTCCGACTTCAGGCAAGCTTTTTGAGTCCTCCCCCGGCTGTGATCGGCTATTCTCGTCTACTTTCGAGGCCACTGGGGGGCCAGTTATTTTTTGAGGGGGGCACAATAAATGCAGGACGAAAAAGAGAACTAGACAGTATGAAGTAATTGCGCATAAGAAAACAATGCAATCCAGTTATTGGTATTTGTTTCAGTACACTTATTTATTTCAGATATATCTTATAGTTATTACTGTTAGCTTCAGCTGAAGTTATAGTACAATTTTTGCACTAACACCATATCATATTTATATAAAAATAAAGGCAATGCACAGTTACATCTCTACTTTACATCTACAATTACACGGATACAATAGTTTAACTCACCTTCAATTATCAGTGAAAGTGAGTACACCGCTCTAATGGGTCCTGAGTGCACCGCTCTAATGGGTCCGACTAGAATGACGAATAACGTTAGTTCCGCCTATTCCGTCATTCAATAAATTGTGTAATAAATCATACATTTTTTTCACTTTTTTCACTTTTAGGGGGGCCGCAGGGGGGTCAGAGGTCAGTGTTAGGCAGTGCCCCCCCCCCCCCCCTAGAACCGCCCCTGCTCCATGGCCTCCTATGATGTGTCGATTTGTCCTTTCCTTGCCTCTCTTGTCAGTCAGCAGCCTGTTATCTTCCTAGTTTATTTCAATGCAGTCAAACAAATAGACAATTTGTGCATGTTTTTTCAAGTAAGGTTAACACAGTAGTAAAAAAGCAGTCTGTACTGCCTGCCTGTAGCTGTCATTCTACATGCTACCACCAGATAGTGCCAAAATAATGCACAATGTGTTTTTGATTATTACGGGTGTATTTACAGTGAGAAAGTAACACCTTAACAAAACTACATGGAAAAGTATTCTAAATTATATTAAATGTTTCGATATGCTTTACATTTGTTTTGTTAATAGATCACGTTGCCAGTAGAAAGGTAAACACTATAATTCATTCAGGGGAATAAACAAGAGAATAGCTTTTATATTTAAAAAAAGCTATTGACCCCATTCCTTTTGACTAAATTGTTATTATTTATTTATATTTACCTGCTGCAACAACAAAAACGTGTTTATATATTGTGAATCTATACATGAAACACCTGTAGCAGGAACTAATATAGAAGATGTCTCAGTACTTTACCAAGTGTATATATTTGTGTGGTCGGTCTGGATACTTTACGTGTTTGGAGGTGATAGTTGGTATTAGATCAGGGGTGCCAGATGTTGAGGGTAGGAAGTGGGTATTGGAACATTGCGTTTAGACTTTGGACATATACTTTAGTAATATCATATATTTATATTTGGTTATGTTGATGTTTATAAAAAAGAACAACAAACATCTTGAAGTTCAGAAGGTAAATCAAGCATGTTCAAATGTTAATAAAAAAAGGCAACTTACGGTGGCCCTGAAGTGCAAGTCAAAACAACATTTCACAAAACATTACAGCATTTCATAAAACACGACATTTCAAAAAACACTAAAGCATTTCAGAAAACGCTACAGCATTTCACAAAACACTACAGCATTTCATAATACACTTCAACATTTCAACTTTTACGGAAAGGGTATTCCTTTAGGGAGAACACTTCTTGTTTGTGATTGGACAGAGCCAGCCAGAGAAGCACCGCTGTGATTGGTTGTTTTTGCTGCCAGTCAAGAAATGACGCTTCGTGATTGGTCAGCACCTGACAACGCAACATGTCCCAAAACATCAGCCGTTAGCCATTAGCACACAGAGCTCACAGCTCCTCATATCTTTTCAGAAACTGGACAAAAGTTAAACATGTACAAAACACAGACTGTCTGGCGAATACAGTCGCTGCTTTATTTATGTCTGTATGACGTTGTTGTGAGTGTGGACGGAGCAGCTACAGGTTAGTTTAGCCTGATTGATCCGATCTCCATTCAGAAAACACACATTTTAAATAGTTTTTTGCCTGCCGTCTTGTCAAAGCACTAATTCATGGTTTTTACTAACCGGTATCAGTATGTTGTTACTTTGGCATCATTTTGAAACGTGTATTACAATTAAATCACGGTAAAATATGTTCATTTTGTTGGCAGGCGAAAACCCTTTTAAAATGCGTGTTTTCTGAATGAAGATCGGATCGATCAGGCTAAACTAACCTGGAGCTGCTCCGTCCACACTCACAACAACATGATACAGACAGAAATAAAGCAGCGACTGTATTCGCCAGACAGTCTGTGTTTTGTACATGTTTAACTTTTGTCCAGTTTCTGAACAGATATGAAGAGCTGTGAGCTCTGTGTGCTAACAGCTAACGGCTTAGTTTTGGGACATGTTGCGCTGTCGGGTGCTGACCAATCACGAAACGTCATTTCTTGACTGGCAGCAAAAACAACCAATCACCGCAGTGCTTCTCTGGCTGGCTCTGTCCAATCACAAACAAGAAGTGTTCTCCCTAAAGGAATACCTTTTCCGTAAAAGTTGAAATGTTTAAGTGTTTTGTGAAATGCTGTAGCGTTTTGTGAAATGCTGTAGTGTTTTGTGAAATGCTGTAGTGTTTTGTGAAATGCTGAAGCATTTTCTGAAATGTCGTTGCGTTTTGTGAAATGCTGTAGCGTTTTGTGAAATGCTGTAGCGTTTTGTGAAATGCTGAAGCGTTTCCTGAAATGCTGAAGCGTTCTCTGAAATGCTGTAGTGTTTTGTGAAATGCTGAAGCGTTTTGTGAAATGCTGTAGTGTTTTGTAAAATGTTGTTTTGACTTGCACTTCAGGGCCACCGTAGAACTAGTTTAAAGCATAATATTTAACAGCAGCTAATATATGTGATTTGCATGAATTACCTCCAGATGGCAGTATCCTCTATCAAATAACAGCATATTTCACTGACTAGCCGATCCTTAACCAGTGGGGCTTTCACAAAGTATTGCATTGACATGATTACCAGAGATCTCCATGTATGCATGTGGTTCTCTCTTATAGGAATGCTAAAGGGGCTCAGGGTTAGCCTATTATTAAACATTTTAGTGAGTGCATTTTTACTTTGGACCCAAATAAGTATGTTTAAATTATTTGCTAAATTCATGTTTGTATGGAGTAAGTTATGCAGGTCCATAGGGAATGACAGGTTATTACTGTAGGTAAAGTAAAACTGTTGCAATATTCCCGAGTTAAATTAAGTTTATAATGGTTCCAAATGTGAGTGATGTAACCATATGGAGCCTACGGAATGTGTTAGTGTTGCCCGGTGTCTCTGGCTGTAGGGAGAGGTGCATGCTCTGTGAAGTTCTGTCTGACAGATGTTATTATTACTAATATCCATTTCTAAGATTAAACATGAGGAGATGTGTAGCAGTGCAGGGATTAGTCTGACACCTCTTCCTTTTCAGGATATAGTGTGATATGTTCCAAATGAAAAAATAAATAAAAATTGAATGGGAATGTCTGCAGTATAGTACTCCATCCTCTCCACAACTCTCTTTGCTATTATGTTCCCTTACTCCACACCACCTCTCCAGTTCTCACCATTTACTTACTTTTCTGCCTCCCATTAGCAGGTGCATCTGTGCCTCTGCTGGGGGAAATGAGTGTGAGAAAGGTGCAGATGTGGAGAGGGTGAAGTGACACGGAGCGAAGGGAGGACAATGGTGGAGAAACTGAGGGAGGAAGAACAACAGTGCAGTGCAGTGAGAGCAGGGGGAGAGGTGGTGATGGGAGAGACAAAAAGAGAACTGGAGGGAGGGAGGGAGGAAGGGGAGAGGACACGAGAGATGGTGTGTGGTTGCCAGGCAACGATTGATAACCAAATCCCCAAGCATCTCGCCTGTGCTGCCCTGCCCTCCCTCCAGGCCTGAATTACACACGGACGGACACACACACACACACACACACACACACACACACACACACACACACACACACACACACACACACACACACACACACACACACACACACACACACACACACACACACACACACACACGTGCACACTCCAACACACACACGCACACACACAGTTAGGTTTGTTTTCTGGCTTTCTTATTCAATTATTCAATCAAAGTGTTGATGTTCCTAATTTAAAATTATAACAGAAACTATGATTATATATACTTCACTGGTGTGGGAGATTATATGTTTTATAATTTGTACACTCTTGTTGGGATGCACGGCATATCACAGAATCCAATCTTATAAAACAGGTATGATTGATGGCACTGAGATTTATTGGGCTCTTACTGTACTTTGCCCATAAGATTTTACACTACATGTGTGGAATCAATAGATCTGTCACACGAGCATTGAATCCCATGTGGGACGGCTTCTCTGCTTATTGCCAATCTTACTACCAGGATGACTGATAGCGACCGCCAGAGATTGTGCTATCAAAGCCAGTAAATTCTCCCATTCCTCCAGGTTGCAGGGATTGAAAGGTTGCCGGGCATTTTAAAGAGCCAAACCTGAATCTGTATTCAGTGTACGTGCCGTTGTATGTGTGGTACCTGTGGTCGGACCCTCCTTTTAGCAGATGTTTCTTGGAGGTAAAATAAAACAAATTGTTGCTCCAAATAACAAATGCTGTGCACCTTGAGTAAAGGAAACAAACACATAGTGATGCTTTGGAGCAAAACATATAGAGGTAATTTAAATATCACATCCATTGTTGTTTTTTGGGTTATATTTGCCATACCAAAATAAGATTTGAAAAAAATAAAAAGTGGGTGTAATCAAAACGGCATTATATGTCAAAGCACTAACGAGTCATATTAGGCTACAAGATAAAAGGAGCATATGTAATGTGGAGTAGGAGGGGAGACAGCAGTGTACATGTGTGAGAGAGAGAGAGATTGAGAGATTGAGGGAGTGTGTGAGAGAGAGATCCAGCTCCAGTACCTGTTAGAGCGCCGGATGGCCGGGTGATCAGATTAGAGGTGTCAGGGCTCGTTAATCTGACAGGGAGCGACATACTGCCACTCACACTGCTGCTGCTCGCCGCTCCCATACACAGGCGGCGGAGGGTAGCGGAGCCCACTTGGTGTTGATGCGAGTCGGGGAATTTCCCCCCTTTTTTAACAATGGATACCTGCAGGGTACGATACTGGGTGTTTCTGGTCCTGTTGTGGCAGGACGGGTCTTTGGCATCGCAGTTTCCAACACAGCTCATGTAAGTATGGCCCCTTTAATCCCATGTTCTGGTGTGCGCACTCCTGGTTTAAAGTGCTCGTCGTTCAGAGATAACTATCAGGCTATATTTAATGAGACAACCACGGTGGGAGAATTGGATGGGCAGGTCATTTCATTCATGCATTATTGGTGATTTTGAAGGCAGACACTAGTTCAGTTTTGCTCTGGCTGCTCCTCAGGCGGTTTTATAGCCGACTGTCGGTTACGGTAATCAGCTGTTTGTCGCCGGTATGTCTGCGGCCACTCCGTGACAGCTCGTCTATGAAGTTGTTAAGGAGTTATAGGGGCTTCTGGACTGTTCATTTAATTAAATAAAAAATAAAAACTTGGCCCTTGTCGTTTTCCTTACAACTTTGGAAGGTCTTGTAGGTCCTTGACGTTAATTCATACTTGATAATGTATCAAGTTTGCTACACAAATAGGGCAAAACAATCTTATATCCATTTGCAAAATCAGAGATTGGATTTCTTAAATTGTATGCCTTTTTAGCAGGGACGTGCACAGACATTTGGAGGGGCTATTGCTCTAAACTGGAAAAAGGGCCTCCCCCCGATAAAAAACACAAGACCTTTTGAAAAGTGTAACTTGTTTTTAATGTAAAAGAAACCAAACGATTATTACATCAACTAAATTGAACAGTAATTCACATCTCATAACAAAATAAGCTAAGGTGACTACTTGCATTCGGTAACTTGAACTGTGCAGGCCTCTAACTAATTACCTTAAATAAACTCACTAATTAATGAAACCAGTTCAATACGCATTATTCTTATCATTCTTTATGAGCGCAGCCAGTAACGGTAAGGTATCTAATTACTTATTTATTTAGTATTCCATAACTTAATAACAGAGATGGTCAAACTAAAGTGGTAGAGACATGGCAGAAATCCTACAATGAAGCGGGACAGTGAAGTGTTCACCCGTGAGAGGGCGATCAAGAAAAGAGAGTGAGCGGCCCGTTGAGGGAGAGATGAAAAGACACAGATAGACAGAAGCGCAATAACAAAGGCTATATTTAGGTGTTTTTTTGTAAATAACCGACGGTATCAAGAGGAAGTAAAGTCCCCTGGTTTGTCCCTTATACCCTAACTGCCATGAGACAACTCAAAATCAAGTTTCCAAAATCCGATACTGAGGTGGTCTTAACGCACCGGCAGATGACAGCGCTGACAAAGTGTGTTTCCCGCAGCGAGACGCTACAATACTAATTGTGGGCTTATCATGTTGATTCGGCCACAACAGAAAAAAGACAAACAAACTCTCGCTCTCTCCAGAGGGGCAGGTCAGCCAAAAAGGCCAAACGGGCCGTTGCCCGGGCAACATTAGCCCGTTCCTGCGCACGTCCCTGCGCACATCCCTGCGCACATCCCTGCGCACATCCCTGCGCACGTCCCTGCTTTTTAGATTGGTAAACCATTCAAGATTATCTGTAAATCCAGTTATTTTTCAGGATGGTTGCTTTGTTCACCAGAGCCACCAAACCTGTTTGGCAACAATTTAAAGTGAATATACAATTAAGGGAAGTTCACATATATTTTAAGAGTTTGTCTAATAGCCTACAGGCTATACCTTTTATTTAAAATGATTAATGCAGAAACAAAATTATATATATATTTCTCTACTAATTAATATACCTCATCTTCTTTAGAGAGACCCATGCCATAATAGTGAAAATGAAAGTGTGTCAGTTACCTAATAAGTCTGCATGTGATCACATTTAGCACACATTGAATCATTACATTTTGTATTGAATAAAAGGTTTGGTAACCCGGTCAGTTATTTCCAATATGTTGTTCACCTTATTTAAATCAAGGTATACATACTCTCAGCACATTGAAATACAATTATACAGCACCAACATAATGTTACAGTCAAAAACTCATACTATAGTTTGAAGTAGACTACTGCAACTCCCTCCTGGCTGGTCTACCTGCATGTGCCATCCGACCTCTGCAGCTCATCCAGAATGCAGCGGCTCGTCTGGTCTTCAACCTTCCTAAATTCTCCCACACCACTCCGCTCCTCCGCTCCCTTCACTGGCTTCCGGTAACTGCTAGAATCCACTTCAAGACACTGGTACTTGCTTACCATGCTGCGAATGGATCTGGCCCTTCCTACATCCAGGACATGGTTAAACCGTACACCCCAGCGCGTGCACTACGCTCTGCATCAGCCAAACGACTCGTTGCGCCCTCGCTGCGAGGGGGACCCAAGTTCCCATCGGCGAAAACACGTGGGTTTGCTGTCCTGGCTCCAAGATGGTGGAATGAGCTCCCCATTGACATCAGGACGGCAGATAGCTTGCACATCTTCCGGCGCAAACTGAAAACTCATCTCTTTCGACTCCACTTCGAGCGTTAGAACTATTAACGAAGCACTTTTATACCAATAAAGGACTGGATTACCTAAAGCCAGTTGAGTAGCACTTGAAATGTTTAGCTCTATGAAATCTGATGTACTTATATGATTCTGTTTTCTTCAAGGTTGTGTCTTCCTGGTCGAATGTACTTATTGTAAGTCGCTTTGGATAAAAGCGTCAGCTAAATGCAATGTAATGTAATGTAATGTAAAAGTATACCTAATTCAAAGGAGCTGGACTTTTGAAGAACATCATTTACAATCAGCAACTCTCTGGTGTACACATTATTAGTGTCAGCAAACATACCTATAGTTGTGCAGCCTAGTTAAAACACAGAACTCAGTTAACAGACTTTTGTGCTAAATCTGCTAATGCCAAGTGTGAAACGTTTCAGCGTTGATTTGAATTTCTTTGTATTTGCAAGTAAAACAATTTACGAGGTATATACAGTTTGTTTGTTAAGCCTCTCCCCCACATTGCTCATGTACAGTGTCATGTCCTCCGTAGGTTACACTTACAGCATGAAGAACTGAAAAGGGTCTTTGGATTTGACGGTTTAAGGCCCCATCTATAATTAATGCCTATAACACTGGGCACCCTTCCATAGGTTTACTATTGTGATCGTGACCATTCAATATCACTATTTTTATATTCATGGCCTTACATCTTTTTTTTTATTGCGTTCTGAATTCAATTTCTATTGTTGTTTTCGTGCATCGCTGCTGGTGTGTCCATGTCTCATTCCGCTTTGCTGTCTGGACTTCTGTCTTTGCCTCTGTAATGATGTGTAATTACACTGCAGTTTAACATAGCGGCCCACTGAGATACACACCAAGGGCCAGCTCATTACTCTATCTAGAGCCAAAGTGATGGCATCACAACATCTGTCTCTTACGTGTACTGTCTCTCCAGCTCTCTTTCTGTTTCACTCTCATTTGCTCTTCCTGTGTCTGAAAAACAATGTAGGGCAGTGTCTGACCCAATTGCCATTTGTATGTGTGTGCTTGTGTGTGTGTGTGTGTGTGTGTGTGTTTAATTACCCAGTGTTATACCAGAGGCTGCAGTAATCAAAGCACAGCAACCAGAGCAGAACAATTTAACTACCTCAGCTCAACAACAATGACTTTATTAATGATTCGGGATCTCTGAATCACATTGCTATTTTAGCCATTGAAAATAGCTTACATTAAATATAATAACATTGTGATTATGCCAAGATTATATTCCTTGTCCTTCACCTATTTGTGAATGTTTAGAAAGTAATGAGAAACATTACATGCAGGAAGTGATCTGACTTCACATAGATCAACCGGGACAGGCAGAGAGCAGGACTCACCTTATGACATTTATGAAGCATCGCCATTAAACTAGGTTGGGACCTGAAGGGATGGTTGGAAATGCATGATTTAAGGATAAGGAGTTATGCAGAGTTGTGCAGAGATTTTCTATGCCTATGGATAATACATTTGACCGTTTAAGGCATATTTAACAAGGGGATTTCGCTGCAACTATTCATACAAAGCAACAAGCTTTGTGGAGTCGGAGCATAACTTTGTATTGTATGGTACTTACTGTGTATAATGAGCCAAGTGAGAGTTTTACAGGGAAGACTTTCTTTGTCTGCACATTGCATTGTTTGGTTACAATCACAGACAACACAATTACATATACAAGGGATTCAGTATGGTGAGAATTGGGATGAGCTACTCTGCAGATGAGGCACACTCATGAAGCCAAAATATTATAAATAGATTTTAGGGGGGAAAAGTCCATGTCATCAATATTGGACATGCACATTGCCCACACACTGCAACCCAGCCTGCGTTGTCTCATTTATTTGTCAGCACCTGGGATTCTTGTTATAGAGATTCGCAGTAGATTTCAAAGAAGCTAAACTCTGTAGAGAGGCATTCTACTTCTCTGGATGTCAAATCCCTGGAAACACACTCACGTCCAGACAAACATACACGTAACTCACAATTGTCTTGTCAATGCTTCAGGCTTACGAGCTTAGGGTACCAAGGTCCACTAAAACGCCTTACAAACGGTTTGTTCTTTATGGATTTAGCGACAAGGAAGGGTAGGGCAGAGGAGAGAAGAGAAGAGGATCAAGGGAAGATCATTTAGGAGAAGAGAAGAGATTGAAAAAGGGCTGAAAAGTGCAGAAAAGAGGAGTGGTAGTTTCTCAAAATCTCAATGCAAAGTTGTATTAAATATGCTGTAACTACTATGTTGCAAGGATCATAAATGTTGAGTTTTTATTAAGTTTGTTTACATATTAGGATCTGGGCACCCTCCATCCAGTGTCAACGATTGATGTTCTGCTTTGATGTTTTCTTAAGGGCAGTTTGCAGGATCAAGAATGCACTTCATTCAAAAACAAACATTTGTATCAAGCAATATTGTCTCTATGTTTCTTTAACCCTTTTAGAACTGATACAATTAATAACACATTTCATGCTACTTTTATTGACCAGATCATGTGGTTGCATCCAGCACAACTGATGGATCTGAACCCAAACAACATTTGGTGGATTTAAATCCTCCTAACACCTTTTCACACCTTTTCACACTGCCATGAGCTCTACCAAGCCAGTACAGTGTTGTCCAACACTCCTCAACCATAAGTCTTTGCAAACTAAAGAATATCATCTGAATTCATTACTGACCCTGTTTTTATATCTCTACCTACAATTTCTGCCTAAAACATTTACCATTGTGCTTTTCCCTCGGGTATTCCTGCTATTTCAACATGTCTCATCTTTTCGTACTTGCTCCAAATGATCCCTATCCACTCTGTATTTTGTGTCCCTGGTGCATCTTCCCATATCTTTTCTGGCTTTCTGATCTTCTCTACCTTTATCTCTTTGATTGCATCCGATCACCTTCCTCCACTGTTCTCTACCATCAATGTTATGCACACATATCTTGCCTTTCATGACACTTATTCCACCTCTCCAATGACAATTGTTGTGGAATATGTATTCATATATTTGTTTTTCTATGTTTATATCAGTGTGTGTGTATGACATGTCTCTTTGATATTTGGGAGGATTGCAAAGTCTTTGCTGGTGTGAATGCATGGCAATGAGAGCATCTGTATCACATGCCAACCTGTTATTATTCTCATACAATATGAATAACCCTGTTTTAGTGTGTATGGTATACTTGCATGGCAGTATAGAAGTTGAATTAATGCATCTGCATGCACACATCTATTTCGCTCCCCTAGCCTCTCATTCCAGGTGTGCCTTTAGATGAGTCCGATAATAACAAGTCACTGTGTCACTTAATGCATAATGTCTCCGGTCTTTGACATTCTTAGCGCGTCTATCTCTATCCACAGCCACCGTGTTCAGGATGCAAGCAGTGATTTACTCTGTCAGTGTCTTATAATGCATGCAGTGAGCTTATTGTGGTTTGACAATTGATTGGAGGAGGATGAGAGGAAGGTATAACCCAGTTTGTGGCACCAGCATGCTGGACCTGATGTCCCCAGAGCGCTTTGATATACATAGAAGCATGTCGGTCCTGACCTGTCCACTCATATCACTGTCAGCGGTCACAACATTGGCTGACACTTATCTGATTGGTTGTCTTCATGTTTGAACTCTCAGAAAGTAATGGTATTGGTTGACACCCTGTGACATGTGTTTGATTAAATGACATTGTATTTGTTCCCGGTGATTGGAGTTTGATAACTTGACCTATAAGAGTGATTCTCTTTGTCCTTGTTTGTTTTTTGTCGGTCCAGGTGGTCTCCTGAGATGAAAGGTTGACTTGATTGACAGTTTAATTGCATTGTGAAATGTTTGTGATGTCTCTTCTAAGCTGGTTGCATGTGAGTTACGATTAACTTTGGTTGTGTGCATTGCTTTGTCCCATAGGATTAAAGAATGGGTTGATCAGATGCAGAAAGAGCTTGTCACCCTGGCAGACACAGCCACAGCTGGGAAGAGCCTCACGGAGGTATAAACACACACATGCTACACACACATGCATAAAAAGCAAGCATTAAACACATTCAAGCCTGCTATGGACCTACCACACCAGTCGTTCCATAATTTCAAGTAGTTGCACTATTTCTTAATAAAAGGTATCTTTTGCAAATAACACATTGTGTTTGTTAAATCGATCAATTTACAATTGTACATGTTCACTACTCTCTCTTTATCTCAAGATTTTTCTGCAAAACCAACACCTGTACACAGTGGAGCAAAACGATGCAGAAGAGCTGGTTGCCAGAGCGGCAACGAAAATTGAACAGCTGCTGCGGAAGAGATCCGCTGCCTTGGAGGTAATACTCACTCCACTTAGAGGAACCAACTGTCACTTTGCAATTTTACTTTGGCACTAAAGCTGTACAGAAGGATATCTTCATTAACTAGGGCTATAATCTCCATCTGCTTTTTGTCAAATCATTGTAGACTTGAATTTGTATAATTAATAACCAAAACCATGTGGTGATTTTAATCTACTTTTTGGTTCAACTACTGGTGATTATTTTGTATTCACATTGCCCTTGTTGTGTATCTCAGTGGGCCGCTATGCTAAACTAAACTGTTGTATATTTTGGGACATGGTTAAGTTTGTGACGATCAATTATACAAATGTGATATTGTAAATTCCTTTTTTGATTACCAACAGTGCATTTAGCTTATATGCATATGTTGATGGACCAATACAATGCAACTCCTAGATAGATATACGTACACTAAGAAAATAGATTTAAATGTTTAACATCACTATGGAAAATGTGTCTGTTGTTCTTGGCAGTTAATCTTTAAAAAGGAAAAAACATGGATTAAACCCAAAACTCTGAGTTTAAGAGCTTCAGCTGCAGAGTGCACAACTCATATTTGTAGGTGTTGATGGGAAAGTCTATTGGATTTTAGTCCTGAAAAAAAAAAAAAAAAGAATTTCCATTTTTTTAAATGTCCCCGCTGTGGGACAAATAAAGATTTTCTGATTCTGATTTTCTGTTTCACATTTATCAGGCACATATACTAACACTTTGGACAAAGGGGTAATAAAACACACATTTTGAAGTGAATATCTATTTGATATTGAATGCCCCCAAAACATAACAAATCTGCTTCTGTCTATGTTTTAGTTTAATTGTTTGTCTGGCTAAGGTTTCACACTAGAAAGATTGCTGTGGGTTTGGTTGAAATGGTCCATTACAACAAATGGAAGCATGGGTAAAGCACGCACAGAAAGAGTAGAAAGTGAGGACTGAGATATTTCTTCTGCAGGATCCATTTGAAAATGAGAGCTTTGACCGTAGGGATATTCTCTCTTTCTCCCCCTCTCTTCCCACCCTTTATTTCTACTTAGAAGTGAGTCAGAGATTCTCAACTATATCAAGACTTTAAACTGTTTTTATACATTCAGAGCAAGTTCACTTCGCCCCTTACTCTGCCTTTATAAGGCATCCCCATTGTTGTCTTATTAGTAATGGAAAGGGAGTATTTATGAATGTCCATAAACATAACTTCTGCCAAGTGTCTGTCTTGTGTATTTTAAGTAAACACCCTGGTGTTCTTATCATTTTTCCATGCACTGGTGCCACAGGATGCGTAAGCAGCTGGGATAAAATTGGCTTCAGTGCATTTTCAAATGATAGAAGTGAGAGATAGTTGTGAGTATCAGCTTTTTGTCTGATTGTGTCTAAGTGTGTGTTAAGGGTAGGTGATGGGTGGCGGATCATCTAGCCTGATGCGAACAGTTCATCCAACCTCTGGACATCGATCACTTTTCACTCTTTATTGCATCTTTGTGTCTCATCTTCTACTGCGAGTAACCTTAAGGCGCTCTGATATTGAATTCTCTGTCCTGAGATATATGATTGGGGAGATAAATGGGTGATGTGAACGAAGGGCAAATGCAAGAAGTTAATGGATAAATGGGGTGACTGACAACTAGACCGTCTCTATGTCCATCTTTACATCCATCTCTATATTGGAGGAGACACTGAGGTTAAGCCTGGAGGAATTAAGGACCGGCAGCGATCCCAGCAACATGGATCATGTCTGCCAAGCTTCCTGCTTGTCAATATACAGGCATAGGATAATAAACTGGAAGACCTCTGTATCTTCATCAACTGTTATATCCTTTGTTTCCACAAACTTGGTAAAATCCGGAAATGCGGAGAGTGCCATTCAACAGTTTAATGTATTTCTATATAATGATACAACCCAACAGATTAAATAAAGATTTTACTTTATGGTGAATAAGGATTGTTATCAGGGGAACATTAAAATGCTATTCTGTTCCTGCTCACCTGATCTGGAGTTATTGGCTTTGAAATGCAGACCGTGCTTTCTACCAAGAAAATTCACTTTGGTCTCTATCCAAGTGGTCGACATTACACCAGAAGAAAGTACAGAAGCTGCCCTCTCGGACCTCTGCCTTGAACTGAATTGCTCACAGACCAATTATCTTTTCACTGTAGCCGTTGTTGCTAGAGACTTCAGTCAGGGTAATCCTAACAATGTTATGTCTGACCCACATTAACATACAGTATATAGACTGTGGAATGAACCCTCTCGATTACTGATATTCATATTTGCTACAGAGCTGAATCACTATTTACTTTTGGGAACAGCATCCATCTTGCTGAGGTGGTCGAAATATGTATACAAATGATGACACATGCCTCGATTGACACCTGAAGTCAGGAAATGGTTATGTCGAACAGTGGCCGCCATACAGCGAACTAAATGATGCAGTCTGGAGCACGTCCCAGGACACCACTGTTGACGTCACCAATGACATCAATGAATCGTTCTCTCCAGTCTCAGGTGGACTTAATTTTAAAAGCAAAAATCAGTAACTGTACCCAAAAGTACAGTTAGATTTATTCCAAAACGAAAAACCATAGATCACTATGACCTATGGGACGTCATAAACATACACTACAGCCTACAATTTAGGGTCTCAGTCTGGCAGTATGGACTATTATAAAGCAGCTAAAAGAGAAGTAAAAGGGGCCAAAGGGGACTACGGGAAAAAAGTACAATTCCAAAAGGGCAATCCCAGAAGCATTTGACAAGATCTAAGAACTATAATGGATACAAGCCCTCAAAAGGAGTGTCCCCCCCAAACATACACATATTTATTGGTATTATAAAGGTACTGGCAGGATTACATTTCACTGGAATTGTACCTTAAATGATTTGAATATAAACAATTAAGGTTGATTATTTTATTGACTCAACAGTTTTATCTTTTTAAGACTTCTAGGGTAAAACACATAGAAGTGACACCAGCTTTAAGACTGCATACACTGTCCCTGTAGATTGGATACTTTGCGATGAGCTGATTTTTGTCGATGATTTATCTAAGTTAAATAAAAAGATCATGCTGTTTAGCAGAGAGAATACAGCAGGAGAATCCTTATTGAAGTTTGGAGATCCTTTCTTGTTGAGTGTCTTTGAGATAAGGTTGACAGTGACTCTCAATGTCAATATATTAGGAGATAGCCTAAGGCTCTTGAACCACTTTCACTAAGTGTATAACTACTTCCAAAGTGTTATCTTCCCTTTGCCTTTCTCTGTCATCTTTCTGTCGTTCCATCTCTGATTTCTAACTTTGAATGAAAGATGACCTTTGAAAGGCCACAGTTTACCTAGCCACAGGTGTGTGAATCAAGTGTGTGTCTTTGTATTTCTACCCATGCTCCCATAAATATGTGTGTGGCAGAGTGTCACATGCATTATTAATGAGTACTTGGCTGCATACTGTTAGGACAGATCGCTTTATCAAAGGTTTTACATTGTTTACCCGGTTTTGATCTCAACAGGAAACCCACGGACACTCACACACCTACTGGGAGGTTTACCTACAGCGGCTATAGCTCAAGCCAATTCAATCAATCAACAACTTTATTAATTCCGCAAGGGGCAATTGGTTATGAGCAGCAGCTCAAAAAAATAATCCTCTTTTCATTCACATTTTGCATATCTACTTTACCTTCTTGTAGCGAGAGATTACTTTGAAAAGGTTTGTCAAATCAGTTGACCACATAGTGAAAGTGTGCGATGTGCCCGAGGCTAGAGTCAATGACTCTTTCTCTACCCTGTACACGGCCTGTTCTCTCCTGGTCCGGCTGCCTCTGTACGCTGTAATTAAACACTTAATTATTGATGAGTACTGTTATGAAAAACTGATTATACAGTGAAGACATAAATGACATGGACGCTCACACATCAATATATTGTCCACCTAACAACCAGCAATCATGTGTGTGTGTTTGGGTGGGTGTCTACAGTATATGTGTGCCTGTGCAATTTCCTCTCTTCTCCTGGGGTGAAGGTGTCTAGTGACTAATGAGCCAGTCTACAACATTACTTAGAGTAATACCTCAACCAGCACCACTAATACTCTACAGGACACAGGTGGCCCAGTCCTCTGTGTGAGTGAGTGAGTATGTGTGCTTGTGTGCTAGACAGAGAGAGAGAGAGAAAGTCTCAGCATTGTTTTGTAGATGTTTTTGTAGATGTGTGTTTTATCCCTGTTCTCTACATTGTTGTATCATGTTTAGCTTGATTTCAGTCAGCTACATTTGCCTTGAATGATGATCTATTTTCACTGAAGGATAAATATAAAAAAATTTCCATTGAAATTCTAAAACCTGACCTGAAGCAGAATTCACTTCTCTCTTCTCGATCAATGGGAACATTGCACTAGTACATTTCCTAAAGCCAAACATGGCCCCATGTCGCAACCAACAACATAAAGGCTTTTCCTGTTGTGTGTAGTTAAGCCACATGCTCTTTAATATTATACACTTCAAAAGGCATTGTTCATCATTTAAGATATTATAATCATTAGTTGCCACCACAGTATATTCCACAATAATGTCATAGACACAGCATAGTTCCATTGAATATCGAACACTTTTTATAATTTACTTCCTTCAATATCTATGCAATTTAAGAGAACGTCAGTATGCTGGACATACTTGATTCTGCTATTATTACTTCACCTTTTGATACTGTCACCTTCAGTAGACCTTCACAGTCATTGTAACTGTAGTAAAATAAACTGTAATTCCAACGTTAACTCAAACAGCATATCCAAAAGATGTACAGATACAGTGAAGTGAAGCAATTTCATTGTGTCACACGCTTAACCTGTATGTTTACATGTAGCATTTCACTGGATAAGTGAGTATAATGTTTGCTATAAAATAATCTTACAATATGCTAGACACTGTCGTTTTTTTCTATTCGTTGTACCAGTTTTGAATTTCCCTTCATGACTTGCCCTTGAAGACATTAAGGAGAAAACATT